GTGCTGGGACGACAGGCTTGAGCCACCACGCTGGCCAGCTCCGGCTTTTCTTTGGAAGCATTTGAGCCGGTCCTTGACGTGGTCTCTCTGATTCTCCCCAGCAGCTCTCCCAGGATCCCACCTGCCCCGGGGACAGTGCCCACCTGGGTGTTGGTGCCCGGCCTCCCCCGGCCCTCCCCTCCCTGCAGTTGCTCTGATGCATGAGGGAGTGAGCACGGCGACAGCCACTCATTGGGCCGAGGGCACGATCGGTGCGGAGCGTCGTGGCAAGTTCACCTGTGGCCATGGGTGGGGCTCAGGGTGCTACGTCGCCTAGAGGGTATGGAGCCTGCAGGCAGCACCCCCACTCTCACCAGAAGCTGGCCTGGCCAGCGGTCGTCAGGTGTGCGTCTGGGCCCCAGGCCCCGTGGGCAGGACTGCCCTGAGAGTGGGAACGGTGCGGGAGGGTCGTGTCCCCTGTCCTGGCCACAGACACAGGCTTGCGAGGAGCTTCTTGGCCTCATCCTGGCCTGTGGGAGCCCTTGCCTGCTCCCCGTGTCCCTGGGCTCCTTCCTCAGAGGAAGGGACCCCTGCGCTGTCATCGGGAAGGGCGGCTCTGGCCCTGAGGTCTACTCAGTATGCACGTGACCGAGAGCCCCACGGCCTGGAGGGGCCCCTGCTTCCAGGACTCAGCAGCGTGGGTGGCCCAGTGCAGCCACCCAGGCATGGTAGGGCGAGGACATGGCCCTCCCAGCACCAGGGTGCCCACGTGGGTGACAGAGTGGGCCCTGGGCAGGACCCTCTGGGCCCCCAGGGTCTGGGGCCGGGAGCACACCAGCCTGGCAAGAGCCCTGGGTCTCCAGTTAAAGCCAGGGTGAAACCCAACCCCCTCTTTAAGATGCAAAGTGGCCCTTCCCTAAAATAACACATGGCCACAGCCGCAGCCCTTCGTTCCTCCTGGAATCAGGCCGGGCCTCAGCGTTGGAGACTGCGCCTGTGTGCATCCCGTCAGCGGCCTCTGGTGACCGGCTGGCTCGGGAGCTCCCCATTTAAGGAAGCCACAGGCCTCTGTTATGAAACCGAGGAAGGAATGTGAGTTATGCTCCCTCGAAGGGCCGGGATCCTCCGTTTTTCTGGCCTTTGGCCTGGGCCTCCTCTGGGGAGCCTATGGGGGTGTCACTCACTCAATTCTCCGGATGCCTTCTGGGCGGGAGGTGGGAGTTCTGGGCCCTTTCCAGGCTGCTGGGAGGGGGGAACGGGCAGGTAAACAGAGGCATCCGCCCTGGGGTCCCCAGGAGCCCCCGCTGGGCTGGCCAACAGCATGTTGGAGGCCTCGGTTGCCAGGGGAAGTCCACCCACACCCGGCCCCGCTGGCGGAAAGGCCGATCAAATGATGACCCCTTCGGGGTCTCAGTTTTCCCATCCATCAAATGGGTATGGCAGCTCCCCCCTGCCCTGCGTTGGCCGGGTTCTCACCAGATACACAGAAGACAGCCGCGTGAGAGAGGCAGTTGGGGCGGTGTTCCGCGTGACACTTCTCTGGTCCCTGAGCACTTGGTGGTGACAGCTGGGTGAGGCTGACCTGGGCTGCTAGGTGGGGAGGAGGGTAGGAAGGTTCTGGGCCCTCATTTTGGATGGTTTTGTCACAGTCGCTCCGAGGGGGCGGTGGCACCACTCAGAAAAATGGCCCTTCTGAGTGGCCCTTCTCTGCGTGGCCTCCCAGAGAAGGGTGGCTCCCTGGGGTCCCCACAGCTCCTGTGGCCACAGAGCTCCCATGGTTGGGGAGGTGGCAGCCAGGTGTCTGTCATTTGCCGTCTCCTGCTGGACAGAGACCCCCCCCCAGAGGGTGAGGCTGGGTCTGTTTGTCTGTGTCCCCGGCGACCGCCTGGCCCCTGGTGGATGCCAGCTCAGGGCCTGTTGAAATGGGGACAGGTTTTGCCTCTGAAGAAACAGAGGCCACGTGCATGGAGGAACATGCCGGGGCTGGAGGGGACCAGCTTGGAGAGAATGGAGAGTCCACACGTTGGGGCCAGGCTGCCTGAGAAGGATCGGCCTCTGTCGGGCACAGCGGATGGTCCCTCCGTCTCCCTGCCTGGGCCCTGATGTCCCCGGCGGGCCCCCCCCCACGGGATGGCAGGGAGGGCACCCAGAGTGCTTGCCCTCCCAAGGCGGCTGCTGAGGGTGATGGGACTTGGTGCGTGGCCGGGAAGTGGGCACCATCACACGGACCAAGGTGGGAGGTCTCCTCTCCCTGCTGAGAAGGGCAAACACACCAGAACAGGCCCGCCAGCCCTCAGTTCCTATGGGATGTCGGCTGCCTGGACGGGGACCTTGTGTCCTCCAGTCTGGTTGGCTCCTCTCTGGTCTCCTACGAAGAGCCACGCTCAGCCTCTGGGCACGTGCCCTGTAGTCACCTCCGAACCAGGTGTTTTTTGGGGCGCTGGCAGAGTCGGGACCTGCCACCCCCAGATGCTGATGTCACGGCATTGCTGTCTCTGCTGGCTTTGTCTCATTCCCTTGGCCAGAGGTCAAAGGAGGGGCCCCGGAGGTGGTTTCTTGTGACTATGACGTGGCCCCCTGACGGAGACTGAGGAATGTCCCGGCAGGGCCGTGTCACCCCCAGATGCCCCGGGAATAGCGACTGCTACAGCCTCTGGATACCCCAGTGTAAACCCTAGTGCACCCCAGCATTCACCCCGCCCATGGGGTGGTTTTCTTCTAATAGACTTTGATTTTTAGAACAGTTTGAGTTTCACAGCAGTATCAAGCAGAAAGTTCAGAGAGAGTCTTTAAGAGGGGGACCCAGAAAAACCTGGAATTATCTTTCGGGGGGGTGAGCCCCTTGTAGTCCCATCTTCCCCTGCTAGTTGAGGGTTCTAGGAACCCATCGGCATCCGTGGACCAACTGGCTTTGTTGTGAGAGGCTGTGAGAGACTTCAGTGAATTTTTTTTGGAGATTCTTTCAACGTGTTTGCCCGTTTCATGGTGGGTGATTGACGTGCGCACTGCCCATACCGCGCTGAGCATTTGGCAGTTTCTGACCAAAACCCGCATCATGACCCCCGTGCCCACCCTCCCTGTTCACCTGACCTCGCTCCAAGAGACTTTTTTGTGTTTCCCTGGATGAAAAAAGTCTTCCAAGGGAAACGCTTTGCCACTGTGGAAGAGGTGAAACGAAAAACGGCAGAAGCACCAAAAGACATCCACACGGACAAGTTCAAAAACCGTTTTGAGCCGTGGAAAACGCATCTCGATAGGTGTCTTGGATCCGACAGAGAGGACTTGGAAGGGGATTGAAGTTTAAACATATAAGATAAATGCACAGGCAACCCCTTTGGGTCGCCTCCCACTGTGGGAGCTTTTCTGTCCTCTCAATAAATCCTGCTTGCTTTTTTTTTTGGAGAAAGTAGGATTTATTGAGAGGACAGAAAAGCTACCACAGTGGGAGGGGACCCGAAAGGTTGCCTCTAAATCCTGCTTTCTAAAAATAATAAAAAAAAAGAATAAATACACTTACAATTTTTTATTTTTTATTTTATTTTATATTTTATTATTTATTATTTTTATTTTTTTTGAGTTGGAGTCTCACTTGGTCGCCCAGACTGGAGTGCAGTGGCCACTCCCGGCCACCGCAGCCTCGTCTGCTGGGCTCGGGCGATCCTTCCGCCTCAGGCTTCCGAGTAGCCAGAATTACAGGCATGCGCTGCCACGCCCGGCTGATTTTTTGATTTATTGTAGAGATGAGGTCTCGCTGCCCAGGCAGGTCTCGAACCCGCAGGCCCAGGCAATCCACTCACCTCAGCCTCCCAAAGGCGCGGGATTGCAAGCTGAGCCACCGAGCCCGGCTACAATTTTTAATAAATAAATTCTGAGGTGTTTTGGGCCCCCTTCATAGCCTGGACTCCACGCCCACACAGCCCTTGCCACCATCACCAACCCATGCAGAACAGCGCGCTTGTTATGGCAGATGAACCTGCCCTGACCTGTCAGCCTCACCTGAAGTCGGTGGTTCATGGGAGACTTGTATGTCCTGTGGGTTTGGACAACGTATACTGCTCCTTGTCCACCCCTGTGGAATCACACAGGATGGCTTCGCTGCCCTAAAGCCCCCAGTGCCCAGTCTGTTTAATTCCTCTGCCCCCTCCAGCCCCTGGTGACCTCTGATCCTTTTATTTATGGTTTGATGTTTTCCAGAAGGTCATGAGGTTGGAAGCAGACGGCGTCTGGCCTTTTCAGCCTGGCTTCTTTCACTTAGTGCTGTGCGTGGAAAGTTCCTCTGCGTCTTTTCATGGCTTGATAGCTCATTTCTTTTTAGCACTGAATAATGTTCCATCCTGTGTGTTTGGGGTTGCCTTTCAGAGGTTCCTCTAGCAGCAGAATTTTCATAGTAGCAAAGATTCAGAAATAATCCAAACATCCACTGTGGAGCTATTTAAGTCACTTACGGTGCACTCTCCTGCCTTCAAAAGAACAAGGAATCATTCCATTGGAAGGGAAGATGTCAGACTACTATTGACAGAGAGCAAGTTGGAAACAGTGGATTTTGTTTCCCCAGTGTAAACAGGTGGTGATACCCCAAACCCCAAGCATGGGTTATTTCTGATGGGTGAGATTTTTAGTGCACACTCACTGTCTCTGTTTCATATGTCTGCATGTGTGTAGACAGAAAACAAAATCAAAAACAGATCTCAGCCGGGCGCAATGGTTCACGCCTGTAGCTCCAGCACTTTGGGAGGCTGAGGCGGGAGGATTGCTTGAGGCAAGGAGTTTGAGATCAGCCTGGGCAACATGGTGAGACCTTGTCTCTGCAAAAAATAAAAATAAAAAAATTGGCTGGGTATGGCGGTGAGCGCCTGGAGTCCAGCTACTGAGGGGGATCGCCTGAGCCCAAGAGGTTGAGGCTGCCGTGGCCATGAGCATGCCACTGCATTCCAGCCTGGGCGACAGACTCTGACTCAAAAATCAAACGAAAAATACCGATCTGAGCGAGCTGTTTCCCTTTTTCCCTGCCCTCCTTGTAGGTACATGTACTGGACGGACTGGGGCGAGACGCCCCGGATCGAACGGGCAGGCATGGACGGCAGCACCCGGAAGATCATTGTGGACTCGGACATCTATTGGCCCAATGGACTGACCATCGACCTGGAGGAACAGAAGCTCTACTGGGCAGACGCCAAGCTCAGCTTCATCCACCGAGCTAACCTGGACGGCTCGTTCCGGTGGGTGCCCGCCCAGGCCCGGGCGCCCCTTCCCCTCAGTCCCCCGCCGTCCCCAACGTGCTTGAAGGCCACCCTTCCTCACTCCGGCCCCTGGGGTCTTCTCTGAAACCCTGGGGACCTGAGGAAGGCTGAACTTGGAGCAGCACTAGGGGACACGAGCTGTATCAACATTGCACCCAGAGCAAAGTCCCGGCAGTACCCAGAACATTCCACTGGCCGCACGCGGGTGTTCGTTCTAAGTGGGGTGGAAAAGACTATCTGTAGACAGGCGGGGGCTCACGCCCGTTATCCCAGCACTCTGGGAGGCCAAGGTGGGAGGATCGTTTGAGCCCAGGCGTTTGAGAACAGCCTGGACAACATAGCAAGACCCCGTCTCTACAAAAATAAAAAAAAATCAGCCCAACATGGGGCAGGCACCCATAGTTCCAGCTACTCAGGAGGTTGAGGCAGGAGAATTGCTTGAGCCCAGCAGGTCAAGGCTGCGGTGAGCCATGGTCGTGCCACTGCCCTCCGGCGTGGGTGACAGAGTGAGAGACTCTGCCTCTTAAAATTATAAACGAAAAACAAAAAAGACCCCACGACTACATAGGTACAGGTTTTGTCTTGAAATGAGTACCAAAAACTCAAATTCTGAATGTTTTGGGTCTCAGAATTGTAGGCAAGGGGTTGTGGCCTCACTGGGTTGTGAATGGCTTGTGTCACTGCAGCCATGACCCCCTCCCTGGCGCGCCCACCCCAGCTCGTAAGCATCCTGAGGGCGGCGGGAAGGCTCGTGTCCCAAATCTTGCTGAAGGCCCTGCACATAGTAGGTGCTCAGCAAAATGGACGAATGAGTGAATCAGGGGCTGGGAAGGCTTGTTCCCTCGTTGGGGAGTTGCTTTTAGAACTTTCTGGTCAGCTTAATCACAGCCCCTGTCTCACTACCCCTTAGATGGGGAGATGGCCCCTCTGTGTCCTGGTGAAGAGTGGTTTACTCGCTGACCAAAACCTACCTGCTGGCTCTGTGCCGGGTCTTGGGGATCCTTCTGGGAGGGCGGACCAGCCCAGCATGGGCGGAGCTCCTGGCCTAGGTGGGGCGTGGGGGGTGCTGATGCCCGGGACCGAATTTCTGTGGGAACAGACTTGAGGATGTTGGCAGGTTTGCTTCATGTCACCGGGCCCTGTGTCATCTCCTGCTGTGAAGCAAAGTACCCGATTCAGCAGCCTGAAACAGGAAGCAGGTTTTATCAGGGACGCAGTCAGCAGTTAGGAGTGGCTTAGGTGGGTGGTTCTGGCTCAGGGTGTGACCTGAGGGTGCAATCAAGCTCCCGGCCAGGGCTTGAGTCATCAAAGCTTTGACTAAGGTAGAATATCTCTTCCAGCCGGGCGTGGTGGCTCACACCTGTCATCCTAGCACTTTGGGAGGCCGAGGCGAGAAGATTGCCTGAGCCCAGGGGTTCGAGACCTGCCTGGGGAACTTGGAGAGACCTCATCTCTACAACAAATAAAAAAATTAGCTGGGCGTGGTGGCATGTGCCTGTAGTTCCGGCTAGTTGGAAGGCTGAGGTGGAAGGATCGCCAGAGCACCCAGCAGGTTGAGACAGTGAGACCCTGACTCAAAAAAAATCAAGAATATCCGCTTCAAGTTTACTTACATGGCAGGATGCCCCGGTTCCTTCTAGCCTTCTCTTTTTTTTTTTTTTGAGTCAAAGTCTCACTCTGTTGCCCAGGCTGGAGTGCAGTGGCACGCTCATGGCCACTATAGCCTTGACCTGCTGGGCTCAGGCCATCCTTCTGCCTCAGCCTTCCAAGTAGCTGAACTACAGGCACGGACTACCACGCCTGGCTAATTTTTGATTTATTGTAGAGTTGAGGTCTCACCAAGTTGCCCGGGCTGGTCTCGAACCCACAGGCTCAGGCAGTTCTCTCACCTCAGCCTCCCAAAGTGTTGGGATTATAGGGGTGAGTTACCACGCCCGGCTTTGGCCCTTTTCTTAATGCTGCGCTGTGCATCTCAGGCTAGTTGGAAACCTTCTGTCCCTTCTGTCAAGGGACGGTGACAGGGACAGTGAGGACGGTGACAGCGGTGAGACCTGTTGAAACATGGTGGCAGTGGCAGTAGTGGTGTTTTTTTGGTTTGGGGTTTTTTGTTGGTTTTTTTTTGAGACAGGGTCTTACTCTGTCACCCAGGTTGGAGTGCAATGGTGCAATCACACCCCACTATAGCTCCCACCTCCTGGGCTCAGGCGAGCCTTCCACTTCAGCCTCCTGAATAGCTGGGACTACAGGCGTGCACCACCACACCCGGCTAATTAGAAAAGAAATTTTTTTAGAAGCAAGATCTTGCTATGCTGCCCAGGCTGGCCTCGAACTCCTAGGCTCAAGCAGTCCTCTGGCCTCATTTCCCGGAGTGCTGGGCCACTTACTGTTTTCCAGGGAGATTTATCAGCTCATCGAATGCTCGCACCACCCTGGGAAGTGTTTGCTATATGATCCTCTATGCTCAGAGAGGCACAGGAACTCACCCAAAGCCACACAGCTAGTACTGAGAGCCAGAGCTGGAGCCTAGGGGCTGGAGCCCCAGGGCTCGCCCTTAGTCCTTCTGCACCAGGCCACCAGATTCTTCTAGCCTGTGGGTGGCTAAGCTCCTTGTGGGAGTGCCCAGGGCTAAGGGCTGTTCCCATGGAGCGTGATTTCCCAGGATGGCTTCCTCTCTTTTATTTTTATTTTTTGAGTCGGAATCTTGCTGTCGCCCAGGCTGGAGAGCAGTTGCATGCTCACGGCTACCACAGACTTGGCCTGCTGGGCTCCGGCGATCCTTCCGCCTCAGCCTTCCAAGGAGCTCGCTCGGCTAATCTTTTTTTTTATTGTAGAGACGAGTTCTCACCAAATTGCTCAAGCTGGTCTCAAACACTGGGCTCAGGCACTCCACTCGCCTTGGCCTCCCAAGTGCTGGGATGACAGGCGTGAGTCACCCTGCGGCCAGATGACTCTTCTCTTAACTGTGGCTGTGCCTGGGGTGTCTTACTGCTTGGAGCCTGGGTGTGAATGGGGGACGGTGATCACGTTTCCTAGAGGGATGTTCAGAGGGTCCCATGGGGCAGTACACAGAAGCCCTGGCCTGGGGGGGGGACACACACACACATAGTAAGCGCTTAATAAAGGTCAGTGTGCTCAGCCAATTGGATGACCTGGATGCCCGGATGGAGTGGAAGGGGCCATGGCTGGGGGGCGTCCTGCAGACTGTGGTGCCCAGGAGGAAGGGCAAAGGGGTTGTGGTGATCTGAGGTGGACGCTGAGCTTCCAGGGTGCCTCTGGTCCTCAAGACAGGGCACGAAACGGGCGCAGCCCGAGGAAGGATGGCCCTTTGGCTTCCCTGATCCCAAGATGGTGACACTGTGGAAGATAGCTTATTGATTCCTTGGGACATAAACATGGATTGTATTGGCAATTCCGCTCCTGGTATATGCCCAAAAGAATTGAAAACAGGTGGGGGGTGGTGGCTCATGCCTCTCCTCCCAGCACTTTGGGAGGCCGAGGCGAGAGGATTGCTTGAGCCGAAGGGTTTGAGACCTGCCTGGACAGCATGGTGAGACCTCTACAATAAATCAAAAAATTAGCTGGGCGTGGTTGCGCATACCTGTGGTTCCAGCTACTAGGAAGGCTGAGGTGGAAGGAGCGCCGGAGCCCAGCAGGTTGAGGCTGCGGTGGCCGTGAGCATGTCCCTGCTCTCCAGCCTGGGTGACAGATTGAGACTCTGACTGCGAACAAAGCAAAACAAAAATTGTGGATCCCGTAAGAAGGAACAAGTGCGTTTGGTCCTATCTGTGTTCAGTTGTGAAAGCCTCAAGGCGGGAGAGTCATAACCTAGCTCTCAGTCACAAGCTGTGACTTCCTCCTTCCTCCCCTGGGGGAGATTCTGTCACTTGACGGGAACCCCCCCCCTCGCCCTGTCTCTGTCACAGACTGTGTAAGACTGGCGGGGTTTGGGAAGTACCGGTGCCCACGGGAGCGGTTTCCTGGGGACGCAAGAAGGAGTGTGACTCGGGGCGCTTTTCCCAGTGACCCGTGACACGACCCCCGTTGCCCTCGCCGGGTCTCACGTGGATGGGTCAGCGGTGACACAGACGGCCTCTCCTGACGACTTCCCGGCCTCCTCGCCCTACAGGCAGAAGGTGGTGGAGGGCAGCCTGACGCACCCCTTCGCCCTGACGCTCTCGGGGGACACCCTGTACTGGACCGACTGGCAGACGCGCTCCATCCATGCCTGCAACAAGCAGACAGGCGGGAAGAGGAGGGAGATTCTCAGCGCGCTCTACTCGCCCATGGACATCCAGGTGTTAAGCCACGAGCGGCAGCCTTCCTGTGAGTGCTGGGCGGGCCTCCCTGCCTCCTTCCCCTGCCAACACCCTGCCCGTGACTGAAGCCTCGGCCCCTGCTCTGGGGAGGCTGCCTCCCAGACGGGGTGCGTGCTGCCGTGCGGGGAGGTGTGTGCAGGGTGCCAGGTGCCCTGCAGAGCTCGTGGGGGCTGGTCCAGGCTCTCCCCAAGGGAAGTTGCGCCATGTGAAAGGCCCATCGGCGCTTTGGGAGGCCGAGGTGAGTGGATGGCCTGAGCCCGCGGGTTCGAGACCCGCCTGGGCAACTTGGAGAGACCTCATCTCTACAATAAATAAAAATGAGCCGGGCGTGGTAGTGCGCACCTGTAGTTCCAGCTACTCGGGAGGCTGAGGCGGAAGGATCGCCGGAGCCCAGCGGGTCGAGGCTGTGGTGGCCGGGAGCGGCCACTGCACTCCAGTATGGGTGACTGAGTGAGACTCCAACTCAAAAAAAAAAAAAAAAGGCCCACCAGAAGTTGCATGTATGTTAGCAAAAAATACCGTTCCGAGTCGGTGATCCCCAGCCTGGGGTGTCCACAGGGTTGTGACAGAGTTCCCCCCCAGTGGCTTCTGTGACAGGTGACCATGGGGCAGGACCCTGGGCTCCCCTAGGCCCATGGGGACGATCACCTGCTCCCACAAGGATGAGGGATGAAGATATTTGGCTAAGCCAGTGTAGACAGTTTGAACTATGAACATAGGAATCAGGGCTAGCCGGGCTCAGTGGCTCATGCCTGTAATCCCAGGACCTTGGGAGGTGGAACAGGAGGATTGCTTGAGGCCAGGAGTTTGAGACTGGCCTGAGAAACATAGTGAGACCCTCATTTCTACAAGAAATTAAAAAGTGAGTCAGGTGTGGTGGTGCACGCCTGTAGTCCCAGCTAGTTGGGAGGCTGAGGAGGGAGGATCACCGGAGCCTAGGAGGTCGAGACCGTGGGAAGCTGTGATTGTGCCACTGTACTCCGGTGACAGAGTGAGACCCCGAATAAAACAAATGGGGGCCCAGGGCTGGTGACTCTGTCTCTCAGTGCAGGACAGCGGGGGCTCTCTGAGGTTGTTTCCTGCTGAGAATGTCATGGTCACGAAACCTATCTACACCTGGGGCATCCTTAGGGAGGGCAGAGGTTAGCGAGTCTGCTCCAGTTAACTCTTTGTTTCAGGGGTGCTGCCCCCCAGCCTTTCCCTGGGCGGCATTCACTCGGCTCAGTGTGGTGGCCGGCTGGTCCCAGAGGGGCTTGGGAAGGCAACAGGCCGGGCCATCCCACCCAGAGGCCCCACCCAGGCCCAAGTGTGTCTATGTGGAAACCGCGGGGCCCAGGCATGTCCCAAAGACAAGACAGGCCTGCCGCTCAGGGGGCTGTGGCCTCTGGTGCCCCGTCACCACCACGTGGGCGGGTCTGGAGACCCTGCTGTTGATGGGAGGGGCAGCCCTCCCGGGGGTGTCCCTTAAGGGACCCTGAGGACGGGCAGGGTTTTCTTGTAGGAGTTTGGAGTGCAGGCACGGGTGGAAAGGATGCCCGCTCCCTGGGCGGGGCACGTCTGGGCTCACCACGAGTTCGCCAGGAAGGTCGCGGCCATCTTGGGGGCAGCCGTCATCCATCTGGCGAGGCCGAGGGCACTCCGTGGGGGTGGGCGGCGGGGAGGCAGTGGAGGGCTGCCTGTGGGGGCCCTGATGCCACACGGGGGACTGTCACGGGGACGGGAGGCGGGATGCGAACTCACTTGGAAACCAGTGGGTAGTGGGGGCGGCCGCTGTGTTCTGGAACCTTCTCTCCCTCGGCCCTTTTCTCCCAGTCCACACGCGATGTGAGGAGGACAACGGCGGTTGTTCCCACCTGTGCCTGCTGTCCCCGAGGGAGCCTTTCTACGCGTGTGCCTGCCCCACTGGTGTGCAGCTGCGGGACAACGGCAAGACGTGCAAGGCAGGTGAGACTCGCGCCGGCTGGACGGCGGGCTGGTGCCCGGGGCTGCTGCTAGCTTGGGTGGCCCAGGGAGATGCGTCGATGAGCCCGCTTTGACTGCCCCGCTGGGCCGGGCTTGGGGGCTCACACCTGTAATCCCAGTGCTTTGGGAGGCTAAGCCGGGAGGAGCCCTTTGAGGCTTGGAGTTTGAGACCAGCCTGGGCAACACAGCGAGATCCTGTCTCTACATAAAAATAAAAACATTAGCCGGGCATGGTAGCGTGTGCCTGTAATCCCAACTGCCCAGGAGGCTGAGCCGGGATGACCGCTTGAACCCAGGAGGTCAAGGCTGCAGTGGTCTGTGAAAATATAATACAGGTGTGGTGGCTCAGCCTGTCATTCTAGCACTTTGGGAGGCCGAGTCGAGTGAATGGCCTGAGCCCACGGGTTCGAGAGACCAGTCCAGGCCACTTGGCGAGACCTTGTCTCACAATAAATCAAAAATGAGCTGGGCGTGGTAGCGTGTGCCTGTAATTCCAGCTACTTAGAAGGCTGAGACGGAAGGACCGTCGGAGCCCAGCAGGTTGGCGCTGGGGTGGCCGTGAGCATGCCACTGTACTTCAGCCTGGACAATGGAGTGAGACTCCAACTCAAAAAAAAAAAAAGAAATATAATATAAAAAGGGTCCTTGTAGTTATTTCTGAACAGAATGTATCTTTCATCCTAGCAAGAATTACTGGGGGAAAAAAAAATCACTGTATTTTGTAAATGGAAATACCACTGCTAAACAGAATGCTGTCATTTGTCTCCAAAGACTCTTGATATATGAAAGCGATGCGAAAATAATAAATTACGTGGCAACCTTTGGGGTGAGGTGAGGACTGCGATCCATGGGTTATTTCGGGGTGAACGCTATGGCCACAAGCGCCACCAATGAGGATTCTAGGGCAAACAGGGAAAGAATTAAAGTGAGCGGCTCATTCCATCAGATTTGAGAGTATGGGGCATGTTCGTTCCCCGGGGTTCAGCAGTGATCCCCACGGGCCCCGCACTGCCTGGGAGCCGAGAATAACAGTGATGGAGATGGTGCCGGCCTCTTTGAGCGTGCACGTGCCAGCTGGGGCGGGTGGCAGCCAGCAAGCCAGATGGCATACGCGTTAGTGACATCAGGACGGGCCTGGACAGGGTCACGGGGGGGGACCTGCAGTGCCCACGTATGTCCGAGGATGGCCTCCCAGCAGTCTGTCCTAGGCAGCACTGTTTCAACCGGGACCTGAGGACCCAGGGAAGGGGGCGGCCAGAAGGAATAGCATGTGCGGCAGCCCTGAGGCAGGAGCGCCTTCAGGGGTGTGCAACGTGTTTGGTCACATGGGAACCCGGAAGGGCCTCGCACCTGGATTAATGCTCGGTGGTTGTTGACTTGAAATTCCCCGTGTTTGCAAAGAGGCTTTGTGTTTTTGTTGTGCAGAGATTTCTACAAATGGTGTTGCTGTCCTCTTTGGGGTGTTCAAGAAATCAGAGAGAGATATGGGGATCGTCTCTCTCTTTTTTTTCTCGGAGTCGGAGTCTCACTCTGTCACCCAGGCTGGAGTGCAGGGGCACGCTCACGGCCACCCCAGCGTTGACCTGCTGGACTCTGGCAATCCTTCCAGCTCCGCCTTCCAAGTAACTGGAACTACAGGCACTCACCACCATGCCCAGCTAATTTTATTTTTGATTTATTGTAGAGATGAAGTCTCACCAAGTTGCTCAGGCGGGTCTCGAACCCCCAGACTCAAGCAGTCCTCTCACCTCATCCTCCCAAAGTGCTGGGATTACGGGCTTGAGCCACCGTGCCCAGCTAAACTTTTTCTTAAAAGACCATGATCCTGTTACCCGAGCACAGGTGCTCTGTCCCTTTTTTCTTTCTTTCTTTCTTTTTTTTTTTTGAGTCAGGGTCTCACTCTGTCACCCAGACTGGAGTGCAGTGGCACGCTCCTGGCTACTGCAGCCTTGACCTGCTGGGCTCTGGCGATCCCTTCGCCTCAGCCTTCCAGGTAGCCGGAACTACAAGCGCACACTACGATGCCTGACTAGTTTTTGATTTATTGTAGAGACGAGGTCTCACCAAGTTGCCCGGGCTGGTCTTGAACCCGCAGGCTCAGGCAGTCCACTCGCCTCGGCCTCCCACAGTGCTGGGATGACGGGCTGAGCCACCGAGCCTGGCCTGTCCCTTCCGTTTGAGGCCTTGCGGGCTCACATGCGTCCCTCGGTGGCTGTCCCATCATGTCCCAGTGGGCACAGTCTACTCGCGGCGTGTGGATTTTGACTGTGACCACGTATAGCATGTTGACTGCGAAAATCACCTGAGATGGTCGCTGGCAGCAAAAGGATAAAATGAGAAAGACGCTGAACCCCGTTGCTGACTGTGGCCGGTGGCGTGACTTTGGGTCCCGGTGGGCAGCTGCCTGGCGGGTGGGGGTGTCTGACCTGGCCGGAGGGCAGCGGTGCCCGGAGAGGACCGCTGGTGTCAGGGAGTCTGCCAAGGTGCCCGTGGAGGGCAGGATTCTGAGTCCGGCAGGGGAGGCCTGGGGTCACACAGGGTAGCCTCTTGGCTCTGGCACTGGGGAGGTCCAGTATCCCGGGGCGGGTGGGAAAACCGAGACCACAGGGCACGGGCTCCAGAGGTGGCCGGCGAAGCCGCAGGAAACGGAGGACGGGGCTGCCCGGTGGGACTCGTGCCCAGCGTCGGGGGGCAGGGGAAGGATGGCACAGCTCGGGTTGTCGTCGAGAGTCTGCCAGAGACCAACGGTGGGAGCCCCGGTGGTGGGCGGGGCCGGGATGTCGATCACCCGGTTTCAGCCGGATCCGGCGTGTTCAGCGGGGCGTGGCTGTGGACTCGAGCCCACCTGCCGTTGTGTGACGGCCTTCCGCTTTTGGTTGTCCCGTTGGGATGCTTTATTTATTTTTAATTTCAATTTTAATTTTTTTGAGTCGGAGTCTCACTCCGTCGCCCAGGCTGGAGGGCAGTGGCATGCTCCTGGCCACCCGGCGTCAACCAGCTGGGCTCTGGCGATCCTACCGCCTCAGCCTTCCAAGTAGCTGGAACTACTGGCGCATGCCACCACGCCCGGCTAATTTTTTGATTGACTGTAGAGATGAGATCTCACCAAGTTGCCCGGGCTGGTCTCGAACCCAGGGGCTCAGGCAGTCCCCTCCGCTCGGCCTCCCAAAGTGCTGGGATGACAGGCTTGAGCCGCCGCGCCCGGCCCCGTTGTGATACTTTCATCCACGTGCTGGCGGTGTGGTCTTGGGAAAATGACTCGGTCTCTCTATACTTGAGTTTTCTCATGGGTGGGAAGGGGCTGGTCGCGTTTGTACCCCCGTTCGTGGGGTTGTTGGGAAGAAGGCTGCTTCGTGCTAGTATGAACCGTGCTTGGCTTTGAACTTGAATTGGGAGCCAGGAGGGCCGTCCCATTCATGCCAGGAGAGCAGTTTCTTCCTTGAGTGTTTGATGTCAGAGGTAGATGCCAGTAGCCAGGTGCAGTGCCTCACGCCTGTCTTCCCGCACTTTGGAGGCCAAGGCAGGAGGATCGCTTGAACTTGGGAGTTCAAGTCCAACCTAGGCAACAGAACGAGACCTCGTTGCTACAAAATGAAAATCAGAGAATTAGCTAGGCATGGTGGTGTGCACCTGTAGTCCCGGCTACTCGGGAGGCTGAGGCAGGAGGACCGCCTGAGCTTAGGAGGTCAGGGCTGCGGGGAACTGTGATCGAGCCCCTGCACTTCAGCTGGGGCGACAGAGTGAGACCCCGACTCAGTGATAAAAAAGGCGGAGCTGGGAGGCGGGGAGGGGCGATGGCCTTGCTGGCTGCACGTGGCCTGGGAAGAGTGGCGCGTGTGTCCTGGGACGCCCACCACGAGGCTTCCTGTCCTGTGAGTGAAGGCCAGCACTGGCCTGGGTGGGGGACAGGGACTTCTGGGACGTGTCCCGATTCCCTGGCCCCAGCCGAGACCCCTGAGCCAGGAGGAGGGACGGAGAGGGGCGTGGCGGGGACTGCAGGGGGCCTAGGCTCTATCTTGGGCATCTGGTACTTGATGCCTCACGGGAGTGGAGACCAAGAAACAAATGTGGCGTCGCAAATCCTGCTTTTCCCTGATTTTGAGCAAATGAGAGCCAGCGCCGTGTCGGGGCTGGGGGTTTCCCCGAGGAAGGTGAGGTGATGGCTGTTCTTAGACCCCAGGGCCCGGGGAGCGGCATTCCCAGGGTGGCCCGGGCACCTCCCGCAGGAGCAGGGTGCATGGCCTGAGGAGGGGCCATCCGTGTCACCCTGAGCTGTGGCTTGGAGGGAAGAGAGTGACCCCTTCGGTGTGGATGGCAGGTCCCAACAGACGCCCCGTGGGACTCTCACAGTGGGGTCCACGCAGACATGAGAGCCCTGCGTGGCCTTCCTCCCACGTCCTTGGGGCTCAGGGCCTGTGGGCGGGGGGACTGTGGGCTCTCCCCCCAAAGTGGCCCTGTGGGACTCAGGATTCCCGTGAGCGGCCCTCTGCGCCCAGCTCTGCCCAGGCCTCCGTGGGAGCGGGGTGGCTGCGACCTGTCCTCCGTGGCTCCGAGCGGCCGTCCCGTTCGTGCGTGCGACGCCCCTCCTGGGCGGGGCTGGCAGGCCTCCCGTCCCCTCCTCCAGCCCGGGCGCAGCTGGCCGGCTTCTCCCATGTTTTTCCAATTATGTGGAATGGCTAAAAACAGCAGGCCGGGCCTCATCTGGGAGTCGCCGCCGCCCCTGGCGTCCCGACCTTGAATGTGCCCCTGCTGTTCTGACTTCTGTCTCCCACACACCCCTCCGGGCCAGGGGCTTGGCGACGTGTGGGCCTGGGGGCTGTGGCGGAGGGAGGGGCCGTGGCCAGTGCAGCCAGGTTGTGTCCACCCCTCCCCGTGACCCCCAGGTGAGGTCCGGGTGGGCGCCGGGTGGCAGCGTGATTGACCCCCCACCCCTCCCTCTGGTGGGGTTTAGCAGACGTCGGGGGGCGGGTAGGGAGGGGGGA